TTTTAACCATCTTTGAAGTTTTCTTAAGTTGGGCTCTTAGCTCACTCCTAATTTTATTCCACTTTGAAGTAGTTGGCAATAATGCCTTTATCACTGCCTTTTTGAAGACATGTGTGTTTTGGTCTTGACCACTTCCCATGAGCTCCAACTTCTCATTTCTCACTGCTTCAGTTTTCCTGTGACTCTATTTGAAAATCAATGGTATCAATGACAATTTTACTAAGTGACACGAGTTACTGTCTCTGGATGAGACAAGTAGGCTGGGAAACCAGTATTAGTGAATGACCCAGTTATCTGGCATTTCTCCTCAGCCAGGTGGCTTCTTTGCTTTCATGTTTCTTAACAAACTATGTAAATGCCATGTAAATGATAACAATCTACTATGTCTCCTCCCACTCTCTCAGTTCCCTCCTGTAACTGAAATTTAAGTTGAAATGCAGTTTCCCTAAACCACTATTCAGCAGTAGAAGTGCTAGTAAGAAATATGAACCTTTTGGGAAGCAGCCTTACTACAGATCTATAGAAATATAAATCCAAATATGGAATAACCATCTGCTGGTTAGCTTGTTTTTACTAAAAGGGCCATTGAGCTTGTTTTTGTTCCTATGTGAATTGCAGTACAATAAATGAAATGCATAAGCTTAAGACAGTATCTTTGAAGTCATCTACAAATATTACAAAGATTCCTCATCACAGTACTTTCTATTTTAGAACTGAAGATATGATTCTAAATGTCTTCTGCTAAACATCAACAGATTCCTGCAATGATCTCTGAAACCCTTGAAAAGGAGGAGGGAAAAAAGAAAGAAAAAAAGCAGTGGAACATCTAATAAGCCTTTTAAGATAGCAACATAAAGAATACTGCCTGCCATAATACTGTGGCACAAAATGCACATTTTAAAACTACTTATGAATGAATAATGCATTTATCACTTAGACTGGAGGCATGTATGAAACTTATACTTGAGTATTCTCCAAAGGAATATGTCTAGACATTTGAAACAGTTTCTAGGCCTCTCTAATCAGCTGAAGCCCAAGTATGATATATCTGTCAACAAACATGGCAGCAAACATTAACCTGTGCGATTCATTGCTGGCTTTGCTACAATTCATTTAATAATGACCATGTATATTTTAATAATATTAGTGAATTTAATTTAACTCATTCATATTATGTGAAGGAACTATACCAAATACGTTGCAGGAACAGAGAGATACAGATATCTCAGCAAAGTTCCCAGTCAACAGATTTTGGAATTAAATTCCTTATTCATTATTAATACAAGTAATTTTAGGGCAAAACACAAGATGAACTTTTTTATTAGTTGTTCACTCGAGCTTGCTAGGGTTGTTTCCATTTTGAAACATTTTATATTTTCTGATTAATTAAAAATAGATAAGCTAAGTAAGACAGAAGATAACAGAACAACCCACAATACTAGCAGCTTACTGAAGGAAAAACATGACCAAGTAAAGTCTCCTTCAGCTGGAAACCTAGGCCTTTATTTAAACACTAAATTTAGTCAATGACAATACAAGTGGAAAAGTAATTGGACAGAATAACTAAATGAAGAGCATAGCTGGAAAGCAAGGTTGTTTTTTAAAAAAAGCATCTTGCAGGTAAGCTATAGTTACAATGAGATGTCCTGAAGCTGGTCTGCACACTGGATATCACACAAAAAAACGCACAGAATGGAAATCTATACATCTGAGAGTCAGAAATCTAAGGAGGAAGTGTTCATTATTGGCAGAAGAACCAATAGCAAGTTATGAAGAAGGGAAAGAACCCTCAACATAAATCATATCACTGGTGAAGTGAAGACAGACATGAGGACTTTGCCACCTCAACAGCTTGAAAAACTGGAGAAAGCTCTGAACAGTACAATCCCATGGGGGAAGGAGGGACAGGACATCAGTGAAGGGAGTTTAAGAGACACCAGCTTTCAGATACATCATTAGATCTTTTAAGTTAGTTATTGGCTGAAGCCCTCTTGAGCAATAACTGGTAACAAAGGATAGACTGAGGAGTCATTTGTTACCTTTTTTTTCAAAAAAATGCTGAGTTGCATCCATGTTTACCATCTTGCTGTGAAGTCTAGCACCTGAGAAAAACTAGATAAGTGAGTGCAGAGTTGAATGTGAAAAACAAACCTTCACTGCAATATGCAGAATCACTCACTACCTATAAAAGCCTTCTTTAAATGGAGGGGAATTAATGCTACAGGCATATGTGCTCCTATGTGTGTTTTTTATCATCAACCTGTTTTGCTCCCTTTTGTCCCTTATTCTGATGCTGAACTCTATGATACCAAAATGCTCAGTCTCACCTGCCATTTCCCTTATTTGTTTTTTTCTCACATCTGAAGCTCTCTATTCTTTCTTTCCCAGAACAGATTCTCTTAATATCCACAAACACACTGTGCTGTTTACACTCAAGTCTCCCATGTCAGAATCTACCTATGTAGAAAGTGTACAAAGAATAGTTCTTCTAACAGACAGGGACAATTGTGCCCCAGGAAAAGCCAGTTAAAGCATGAAGAAAACATGAAGATGCAGAGAACCTCATTTGCGTTAATATAATCCATGTCATACTTCTATGTGACTGAAATGAAGTCCGTGCAGTTAGATATATTACATGTACATACTCCAGAAAACCCTGTAAATTAAATCCACATAAACTCTGAACTAAAGTACAGTGAAGAGGAGAATATGTAGAAGGAAACCTGAAAATGTTTAGCATAACATTGATACACACTTATTCTGGATGGATATTTTGCTTACTCATTCTTTGCCCTGCCTGCCTTCTTCCCTTCTCCACTGGCTCCCAGCCCCTGGAAGCAGTGAAATTGCATCCAGACAATGCTGCTATAATAATTATGCCTTGTCCCTTTATTAAAGGTGCAAAGTAATCTCTGTGCAGTGCTCCTACCACAGTCAGATCAAGAGAGCTGAGTACCTTCCTGTCAACCAGTTTGCCATTTCAAAGGTGTGCAATACAGTACAAAATCCACCATCCTGGCACAAATAACACCAGAGTAAAAAAAGGTGAAAGTTTTTCAAGGGCTACTTTACCCTGAACTCAAGTACTTAATCATGGGCTTGACCTAAATTTTGCAGTGAATGAAGAGAATTCTGGATATTCTCCAGCAGCTTCAGCTAAATTAGATATGAACATGAATAAGGCCCTGGGGCCCTGCATTCTCTGGGATGCCCCAGGCTTGGGACTCCAGAGAATCCACCCTGGAACAGAACTGTGTTCCAGATTTTAATTAAGCAAGTTTCCTCAGTTAAGCTTTTCCTGTGAAAGCCTCCTACAGTAAAAAAAACCCTTTAGAATGTTATGTTGCAGCAGATGAAAATAAACCTAGCTGACAAATTTTCAAAAACTTTCTTGGAAAGAACATAATTTCAAGGACTACAATCATTCATTCCAGATACATGGTTCACGAACTCAAAAGCAGCACATCCAAGTACTGCATGTTCTCATCTCTCCTAACTGCCATATGCTGCTCAGTCGTTTCATTTTATATGCACCCTCATGGCTCCAGGCTTCGTGGGCAGATGGCTCTTTGCCACCTAATCAAATTCACACATCAAATACATCTCAAGTGAGGTCTTTTGTAGAACTGTATCCTCCTTTATTTTCTCTTCCTTACTTGAGCATTTGAACACCAGTATAAACTTGTACTACCAAAAGGTTGATAATTTTCAAATATAAACCACCAATTCTTCAATTAAGCAAACATGGTACAAGCAGTTCTAGCCCACTCTAAAAACACAATTTAGCGCCTTGGAACTTCACAGTATACCCACAGAGTCTTTAATATGCCTTTTGGTTCTATTTTGGGACCCTCCTTCTTCCAAAGCCACATCTGTTCTTTGAACAGAGCACATCTACATCCTCTGCCTCCACACAAGTAGTTAAAATAATGCATTTTTACTCCTGCAACCAAGTGACAATTTTTGCGGCACTGCACTGAGCTTGATGCAGTAACCAAATTTGGATGCCTTCTAATTCTCTTTAACTGGACATTGATAAAACTGAATTTTAATGGATCCGCTCATCTTGATGTAGGTTCATAGCCATTGCCTTTCATGAACCTAAAACCTCAGAGTTGCTTTTGATTCTCTGAAGCACCCTATTCATCAGACAGGAAACTTCTCATATTAGTAACTGTGGTATTTCTTCAAGCCACTGTGACCCACATTCCCTAACTGGGTTGGTTAAATGTTTCACACACTTTTATCACATTCCACTGCCACAATTTCTGCAACTCTTTACTTGCTGCATTACCTGTCACATCCATTAAATGCATGCATAAGCACACATTTCCTCTGTTTGAATGCTCAGCAGGGTCAGGGTTAGCCTGACAGTGATGGAATGCTGTTTCTCAAACCTGTACAATTGTTCAACCTAAAAAATGTTGCTTTCTTTACAAGGACTATTTCCTCAGCTTATTCCTACTAGGATATGTTTTACAGATACCAGCACAGATACAAGAAATAAGGTCATCTACATTAAAAGTGATTAAATCCTCCACTTTACACCTTTTTCTGTAAAGAAGCAGCAGTGTAGTAATTTTTTTAAATTGCCTTCAACAGCTACAGGAAACAACCCTCACCCTCTTAAGATCTGTAAGATAAACAAAGCTGCTGAGGATGAGCATTTTAAGGACACCTAAAAAATGGTTTTGTAATCTATACTAAAAAGCAATCAGCTATCAAATGCCAGTTATTTTAAGATAGTACATTTGGAAGAATATTATTGAAATATTTTTATAGAAGAGTGATGGAATATATCATCACATTGACACTGCAGATACAAAATAAAATAGAAACATTCATAGTAGCACTTATTAAATTGCTTAGAAAAGCTAGATGTAAACCATATTTTAAAATTTTAAACCTGCACAGCTCACCTTCCTATGCTACATTCAGTCATCTCTGCAGATTAAAGAAAGGCTATCCCAGAAAACACAATGACCCAGAAGCCAAAGATAAAGTGTTTACAATTTCTTCCAGAGATCACCTATTTAGGTACATTTAGTACTTGATATTTACAGTCCTTTCTATTGCTCTACTGAGAGTAGTAACCTGAATGTGCCAGAAACATAGTGGGAGCCTACTAAACATGGACTAAAATTACTCCTGTGTCTCACGGCTGCAGTGGTTTTAACAAGTGCTGCACAGGCACAGTATGAGTAATACCATTTATAATCAATTAAGCTAATCATCCTTATCCCACTTCCATATCCCCTCCTCCCCAAGGACAGATAAAAGGCATCTCCTAGTGATTTTGTAGACACTACTGTGTTAGCCATTTCAATAGATGAGAGGTCCTATGACCCAGAACATATTTGGACAATTTTCAAGCTGTTTTGAAAATACAAAAGACAAAATCTAGTAAGTAGATATTTACAGAGAGACATGAGATTTTGACATTATTTAAAAAAAAACCAAAACTCTCCCACTTAGCATAAATTTCTCTACAATCAGGGACATATTATTTATACTCTAAAACCAGAATTCAGTTTGCAAGCCTAAGGTAGTGCCTAAAAGTATTAAAAATAGCCCCAAACATACAGCTTGAACACAAACCTCTCAGAAGAAAACTCTGTGGTTTTTCTAACAAAAACAGGAAACTGTTCTACAAGGCATTTTCTATTCTTCTCTCTTTTGATAACAAGGCTACCCAATCTCACCTGTCTGGCCCAGAGCCACCAACAGCTGTTCCTGCTTTATGATACCAAACTGACAAAAGCACAACTGCTTGCTTGAGCTTTGCACACTAATTGCACCCTCTTGGCCTGATCTAAATTAGGAGCCTGGTTAACCCTTTCCCTTGCTCCCCAGCCCTGATGGGATTCAGGTGGAAGTCTGAAGCCACACTGGTTAGAGTGAGGGAGGACAGGCATCAACAGGAGCAGATCCCTCTACACTGAGAGTCATAAAGAGACTTTATTGGCAAATTTGGCCTTATTTTTTTTTTTTCCTCACAATGAAGCAGCTGCATTGGGGGTGCTCTAGAAAACAACTTTGTATTCAAGAACAGGTACTTATGCTATCTAATTTAATGGTTATTTAATGCTAGTGTTCTGAATTTCTCACCTATAAATGCTTTGTTAGCTTGCCAACAAAGAACTGAAACTTAAAATTATTCAGGAAGACAAGTGCAAAAATCCTATTCCTGAAATTCCCTTTTGACTGTATTTTAGGCATTAGATGCCTTCTAATACAAAAACTACATTACTGATCAACAGAAGTTAAGAATTAAGAAAACAGTTAAAGGAAGATGATTTAACATAAAAAAATTCTAAATCCCAGTTCTGCACAGAAGCAGGTTCATTTTTATGTTTCTTTTCCAATGTCACCTACCTCAAGTGACTTTATGCTTGGAACAAAAGAGCATGGAGGAACAACACTGGTACATTTGGAACAGCCTGGACAGAGCTACTGCTTCATGCTGACAAAACCAAACCCTATGGGGAAAGCAGTGAGGCAGAAGCAGCAGACTAGAAAGATGCATCAATGCGCCTCAGCTACTGGAACTCTGGAAAAGTACTGTATTAGGTCAGAACAATGTCAATTTTATTTTTTATTTGAGGATATTTCTGAGCAGACTTGACCATTTTAAAATATCATGCTCCACATGTAAGTCAAATCCTTTTGACCCCAAGATCCTGAAAAAGTCTCATGACAGTGAGTTCCACTACTACATTACAAGGTGTAATGAAATAAAAGTTGGAAGATTGCTGTCTAATCACTTCACTGAAATCTTAATTCTTACAAGCTATCAAATATTTCCAGACCAAAGTCATGGATCAAGTCAAACTGGTTCTGTCAAATTCTAGTTTTCTATCTTATTTTAAAACCAGCATTGAATATGGTATTTGAGAAGAAGACCAACTCTGATTTTATGTAGTGGCATAATCTTTTTTTCGGGTTTTTTTTTTTGGACTGCCATTGAGCCCTAACCTAACATTTGACAAAACGCATGCTGACAGCATTACTTGCTTGTTTAGTAGAGTTTAGAACTCCTCAAGCTTCATTATTGCACACATACATGATGTAGAGTGATTTTTATTTATTAATATGCCTGGCAGTTTAGCTCTCAGCTGTTAAGTATTAAGAGATCTTCCTGAAATTCAGTGAAGGAAGCTTCAGATTTAATATACAGTAGTTTCAGCAAAAAGTCAGTCAGTCTTAAAAACATTCCTTGGATTACTGAGTCCAAGATCTTTCTGTATCTAGAGGCCAATACTCCTTCCTACTCTGACTTCAGCTTGCACAGAAAGAACTTGAATTACTTCATTCTTGTTTCTGAATTCTTGTGTTTAAGGAGCAACAGAAGGCACCAGAAGGATATTCTGAATGTCACTACTTTATATTAGCTTAGAGGGTGAATGTGCATGTTTCTTTGCTTTGCACCCAGTTACATTTTTGAATATAAATTGGTATTAATTAAGAATACATAATGTTATATTTGGATTTACATTTTCTATATTTGGAAGAAAATCAAATCCTGATGAGCAAACAGGAAGAACTGAAAATAGAAAGAGGACAGCTCATCTCTTATTCAAAGTGTGAAATTGTGAATGTATTTTATATTGTGCTTCCTAAAAGTGAAGAGTTTAGACTACACACTAGTATAAAATGGGTACCATTACCACCACGTGTCTGTGGTTTTGGGAACCATCACAGCTACAGGACAGCATGCCTAGAACCCTAGAGAGATCTAAGGACACAGAAAGTCTGAAAAGCTTTATGTGCAAAATACGTGGCAACACACTTTGCTAAGAGACCATGACGGTTCCAAGTACACATGGAAGCTGTTTTTAGGCATGTACGAAACAATGCCTTTTGGATTTTGCTAACAGGCTCAGATGTGATCCAGGTTAGATCCAAATGTATTTAAAACTCCGTGGATAACCCTAATTACTGTTAGCACTCAAACTGCAGTCAGGAGAAACGGTGTTGATGTAACAATAATTTATTATAGTACTGCACGAATGGTAAAAAGACAATACCTAAAGCTGAAATTCAACCCTATGCAGAGGAACTAATGCAAGTTTCATAATCTACTGAAGTACTACTAAAGCACTGCTTCCAAACAGACCAACACATAAAGCATCAGTGGTGTTAACAGTCATCCTAAGAGGAACTCCTCTTAGGAAAAAAGCCTTGAGAAATTCTCTCATGAAACATTTCACTGCTAGGACTTGGGTCTAGACACTAACTGCAAGATGCACTCTCACAGATACTTTTCTGGATTTAAGTGTATAATTACATCATTTTCTTAAAAACTTGCCTTGAAATGAAAGGTTTTGAGACACAGATATAAAAAGATGGGAGAATCAGGGGACAGAATAAAACAACCCCATGATTTTCACTGTCTTCAACACCAAAACAAACCTGTATTACAGATCACTTTGTAGCACTTTACAAAATGTACACTATATATATCTGATATATGCATTTAGAACAGTATTATTTCAGTCACTAAGTTCTTCCTCATCACTGAAATAAGCACTTTTCTTAATCCGTGGACGTTTTGAATCATCTGAAATGGAAGATTCCCCTGCAGTCTGTGTCCATCTTTGTTGCTCTTCCTCAATTTTGGCTTGCTGTAATGAAGAAAAGTATTAGCTGGGATTAAGAAAAATTAACATGCACTACAAATAACAATGCTAATTCTTAATATAGACTAAATTCTTAAATAAGTTAAAGAAGTACAAGGGTTTATTTCCAGATAAACTGTGTGATCAAAGCACTAGGGAACATTTCTGAACGTAGTTCTCACACATAAGCTGTCTTCTACACCACAGCAGCCGCCTGGACCATCATGTATTCTCAAAAAGAGGAATTTTGCCCATGGCAAACTTCCAAAAATATAGAGAGATCTAAAGCAAAAAATCTAAGCAGATCTCTTTAGCTGAGATCTAAAGCAAAAAATGCCTCATGTTTTAAACTGGTGTTATTGAATCAGCTTTGTTCTGCTAGTAAGTCTTCTATCTATTGTCCTTTGCAGTCATTCATTCACATAATGAGTGCCTTTGGGGATTATTACTGAAGGTTATCCAACTAATAGTTTAAATAGAAGCTTCCTATTTTTACCAGTTAAAAATCTTTGGATGGTGATAGTGAGGCATCAATAGAAATGACAATGTTTCCTGCCTTTATAGGTTTTATTTCCAATTGTAGAGTTTTTGGGGAAAGAGAGGAACACTGTGAATATGTGAATCACTTTTTTGGACATCATCATGTAAAAGTCCTGCACTCATTACAGTCACGTTCAGAACAAAGTTATTAATTCTTGAGGGTTTTTTTGGTGGGGGGACAGGCACATAGGCAACAATGTTGCCCAGGGACCCAAGAAATTTGAATATCAGGTCAGGCTGGTTCTGTTTCATGAAGCAAAAGGATGTAGAGATAAAGAAGTAATAAAGACAGTAATACAGATGTTAGATAAGCTAGCTACATAAAAAATATGCATTCAGTATGTTTTGGGAGATGAGGTCAATTAGAGAATGTGATGGTCTGTATTGGGCAAAGGACGTGTCCCAGTAATAAATGTTCAAGGACATTCCAGTGAGGACAGAGGATGTGTCAGGTCACTTATACATGACTGGTTTTTTTGTCTCCTCAGACAACAAAGTAAGGAGGGATTTGTGGGCAAAAACCTAACAGAGCATCACAGCAGAGATGACACAAGAAAATACCAAAGCAGCTTGAAGGGAAAAAAGGCTGCAACACACAAATGCAGCAATAGTGAAAGAGCAAGAAACCCAAACAAAATTCCACTGAACATGCCTGCAATGTAAAGAAGCCAACTACAGTTATCAACTACTGCTACCACTAAGTGCTATAGAGCAGACAGACATATGCAAGTATATCAGAGCTTCTGAAAAGCAGCTAAAGAAGGGAGTTGAATTTAAAAAAATATAATAAATATGCCATGCTTCAATTTTGTACCTGAAAAGCTATGGCTTGGCTGAGGCTATCTAGAGCAGGGTCTTCACCTTCCTCTTCACTCTCTTCTTCCTCCTCACTTCATTGTGCAGGGAGAGAGAAAAATTTATAGATCTTTAATTTAAGTGTTTAGTATGAAAAAGCTTCCTAAAAGAAGTAGTAACATGTAACTCAATATACATACACTTCTTCTGGCTCCACTATTTTCTTTCTCTTCTTCTTTTCTTTTTTTTTTGGTGGTTCCCGCTCTCCTAGCATATTTTTAGGACAAGCATAACTTAAGTGTCCTGCTTCCTTGGAGAAAAAGAAATATTGCTTAACAGAAGCCATTACAAACAACTATACATTAAAACCTGTAATGAGGGAAGTTCATGGGGGAAAAAATGGGAGCAATTAATAAGACAAATGGAATGCTGAATTAGCACACAGAAGACAAACTCTTCTCTAGGCTTGCCATGGAAATGGAGAGATTAGTGGTGGTATGCATGCTTAACTGCAAACTCAGAACAAGCTACAAGCACAGTAGATTTTTTTGTCTGTTACAATAACTGAATACACTACACGTGGTTTAGATTCAAAACAAGACAGAAAGATCAGAATTAACAATTTAGGACACAGGAGCGAGGTGATATTTTTGCTGTAAGAAGTGTTATGAATATAACACTTGTATTGGACATTAAATACTATCCAAATATCACTGTCCTACATTACTATGTTCAGAAAAAGTCAGGAATTAATTAAAATTTAAAACTCACTTCTATATAGAACAGTTGTTTCCTGTATTTATTTTACTGCCAGCTAAATCATGAACTTCCAAAGATATAACAAAAGCAGATACTTTGAAGCAAAGAGTAGGAGGTAGTCATTGCAATAGTTTTCATGTGCATCACTTATTTTTCTTGGGTTTTATTTCTCTTTGTTTCTTTCATTACCATCTACTATTACTACTACTATTTAGTATTATTTCAATTATTAAGTTATTCTTATGTCAATCCACAATCTTTGTCCATTTCTCTACATTTTTGGTTTTACTCACCCCACATTCGTAACATTTAGATTTATCAAAGTAGTTACGCCTGCGAATGAATTCTGCTGCTCTTCCATTATCAATGGCAATACTTGCTTTTATTACTCTTCCAAACAACTACAGAAAATTGGAAAGAAAAGGTAAATAAATGTTTTGGGACTGAAAGCCCAACCCTCCTGCCATAAAAACTTTCCACAACTTACCTGTTTGTTATTAAGTGCCCGAGAACAGTTTTGTGCAGATTCTTTATCCAAAAACAAAATAAAGGCAACTCCTTTGCTCTTTCTGGTGTCTTTATCTTTCATAATGGTAACTCTGGAAACATATAACCACATTATTGATTTTAGTGAAACACATGAAAATTATTTCAGAGATTTCTTTTTCCTTTTAAATCTTAGGGGCATCTTACCTTTGTTACACAGCAAAAGAGTTCAAGTATATTTAACAATAAAAATCCTCATTAAACAGAAATTCAAAGGAGCAGCTAACCTGGCCATGTATTTAGAGGTAGAGTGGAGATGATTTTTAAAAAGCATGTGGGTCTTTCTGGGACTAGTATCACTCTTAATTCCCTTGGGTGACTTGAAGAACAGAGAACATAATCTTTAAATTTACAAGCAACCTAACTGGAGGGAACTACATATACTGGAGGTGAAAGGAAAATTCAATGAGTAATCTTTCAACCATTGCTATTATTGATGAAAATCACAGTGTGAACTGCCTCCAAACTGAGAAATCTATGTTTGTGTAGGACTAATCAGCTAAACAGGTTCACAACAAGAAACACTACCTATATGTAGTACTGTTCTACAAATATCTCCAACTAAAAGCCAAAGATCACGGATGCATGTGTTATTTCACATGACATGCAAAGTTAAATCTTCAGTTTAACATTGAAATCAACAGCTTCAATAGCACACTGAGAAGTTCATGAAAATCTAGAAACAGTAAAACAAAACCTAAAGATAAAAATCTAGAAGACAGGGCCTGGTTGTGTGTATGGCTGGAATCCACACAGCCTCAATTCTTTCAATCTTAGTGTCAGTTGTATTTAGTCCTGAAAAAACCTAACAAAACAACAACAGCGAGAACCAGAATGTCAGGGAGCATGTACATAAAAATCAAAGTACACATAAAAAAGTAGGGAATACACTCCTCCCTATGTCCACCACAGGCAAAACAAGGTTCAGCCACAGGGCAAGCCAAAATTCTAAGAAGTAACCAAAAAACCAAACCCCACTTAAATACAGAAGGCTTAACGTACAACCTGTTTAAGTAACAGATGACCCACATGGTAAAAACGCAGTAAAGAAATCTCAAATTTCCCCAAATACATGCACAAAAAGGTTGAACTTAACTGTTTTACTACCAAAGCCTCTTGGACATGTCCAACTGCATGCATTAAGTTCAAGTGTCAATCAAACTGACTTTAGGACAATTCTATTAATTTTTATGCCAATCTACTCTTTGGAGAATTTCAGCAGAAGCCTGGTATGACTGTCAGACTTCTAATCAGGATATTGAACATACCAGTTAATAACACAAGAATAGAAAGAATCAAGTGTGACAAATCTTTAAAAACTCGGGAACTTCTCGGAGCCATAGAAAGTCTGATTTCTTACTGAACAAACTCAGTTGAAGTCATAATAGTCAGGATATATTTGCGGCTCCTGCTATTTGTAACCTGAAACACACTTCTGAGACTTCATAAACTTTGAAACTCTGTATCTCACAGGTTACTGCAACAGACTAGAAATTAGAGAAGATACTTGCTGGTTTATTTAAAAACTGAAGACTTGAGTCACCTTATTCTGACCAATTAAAAAAAAAGAAACAAACCAGTCAGTTCCTTCTTGTGGCATTTCTTTCTAGCATTTGAACACAGAGGCAGATATTCACATATACTGTCACAAATACCCCACATAGTGAAAGCCATTAATGCAGCCTTACATGTAGCTTTAGGTAAAACACTAAGCAGTCACAATGATCAGCCCCTCTAGAATCACAGAGAACTGCACGCTGCAATTGTGGGAACTGTGACATCTAGTTCACATAAGAAGTTCTCAGTTTCACACTTACCCACTGTGCCCCACAGTGGTGAAGGAAAGGGGAATGATACTAGAAGAACACTGTTTCAACTATTTCAGAGAAAAGACTGATGCTATGTAACAACATTCTACTTGCTCTTCAAAAATGGTTAGCAAAACCTGTCCCAAACACAAATATTCTTGTATTATGTATGTAACTGCAAGAACTTTCAGTTGTTAAATTAAATTTATACTTTATTAAAAATGAATAGAACTTCAATACAGTTCCACATTCATACTTTAATTACAAAAAGCTTAAGACTTTCAAGTGAAGGAAAGACATAAAATATTTAAAATGAGAGGTACAAAAATAGAAGGCCATATCAGGTCACTTACTTGACAACTTTCCCATACTTTGAAAATATCTGAAATATAAAACAAAATAAAAAGATTTAACAACAGACAATTGCATTTCACTAATAATAAATTTATCATGACAAACTTATATATCAGTATTGATTTTACAGTCAAAATTGTTGTCAACAAGTTTAATCTAAACAATGCATCTCTTAAAACTTACCCTGTACAGATCATTGTTAGTCAAAGCAAAGGGTAAATTGGACACATACACTGTGCTTTTGCTTGGTGCCAACCCACCACTCATTTTTCTGATGAAAGGAAAAAGAGAGAAGAGTTAAACTGTATTGAACAAAGAAGTCAATTAAAAAATAGTTTCAAGACTTTGAATTTTATTTCAAACCTAGCCCAGATAGCCATGATAAAGCTGCAGGAGAGCGCAGCTTTCATTTCCTTTGCCTTCATGGACTACAGAAGACACACATTCCTTCCTCATCTCCTGGATCCAAACATATTTTTGTTCTATGTGAGTCGATCTGTTGTCAAGAAAATCTGGCAAGTTAGTGTACTTACCATAATCCTCTGCTGATCTGTGCAATTAGAAAGGTTGGGGGCCAAAAGAAGCAAGCAATGTCAATTTATTAAACATTAGGGACAACATATCAAATTACTGACCTTTGTACTAGTACCAGCATGATCTGATTCTTATGCAAGTATCAGCTCAGCTGCATTCAACATACAATAAAATACAATTGGTTAAGGGGGCAAAAAAAAAATTTCCCTAAAGCAGAGTCCTAATTATTGTGGGGAGGGAGATAAATACATTTTTAAGTCAATGTAGCATGATACTAAAGTGGCAAGCTTTCATCTCCTCTCTTAACTATTGCTCAAGTTTCTGCACTCCTCTATTACTGCAAGTGTCCAGAGCTGACCATAAAGAAGCATCTCTGTAGAAGCACTCCCCTTCCTCCTTCTGACTAGGGAGGAAAATTTCCAATCTTTCCATATTAATTTCCAATCTTTTCTATGCTCTTGAAACTGAATATGTCTGGAAACAATTAATCAATTAAAATAAAATGGTATGTGGTTACCATTATAACCACATACACATCATGTAATACTAGGTGAAGAGTAATCAAACTAACTAGAAAATGACAAGTCAATGGTTTTCTTCACATTTGGACATTTCCCAAAATTTTTGGAGGTGTAAAGTCTGTGCAAAACATTCTCTTTGACCCATTCTGTAGCCATGGTTCAGACCAAGAGCTAAGTCAGTAAAATTTAAGATCAAAACATACCCCTTATGAAAGGCCACACCAAATAGTACAGCAAACCCACTCCCTACACAGTCCAATTTCTACCTCCTTGTCCATTTTCCTACAGCCTTATTGCTGCTTCCTGGCACCTCCAGCCAATTCCCAACTGAGGATCAAGCCACTTCTTCAGCAAGACTACCTCATTTTAAAAATGCAGACAGAAGCTGATGGGGATAAAAACTTTTAAGTACTAAAATCAGCATCTGCCATATTACAGTTTCTTAGGGGACTTCTTGGGTAGCCAGTCTGAACAGATTGCTTGGCCAAGTGCCAACAAAAGTAACTAATATCACACTCTGATCCGGGTGATACTTTCTGGCATTTCATGATTTAGTTATCTGAACGCCTGATATTCCCAGTAGACACTGATTGTCCAAGTGCTTTGCTTCTCTTTCCTTACATGCTTACTGTATCACAATTCATTGCAGTGGCAGTTTCCAAGTGATTCAATTTTGAGGTTTTTCATGTTCATAGACTGTTTTCTGGCATGAGCGAAAATGGCAACATAAAGGTTAAGCAAATGAAAACAGAATAAATTTGCAATAAAGGCCACACATTGCATCTGCTGTTAGGCAGACTGGGTTCATTATCCCAAATTCCTTTCTGCTTGGCATTAGTATCCTTGACAAGCCTAACCAGACTGACTTGGCAACATGCCATGTGAATGGATGGCCTGAAGTGCAGCTATCCAGATGTACAGTGGATAGAAGGATTCAGGAAGGATTCAGGAAGAGCGATCTCAACACCACACTGTGCTACATTGCCAGTGCTAATATATTGCAGCAGTGGAAACACTGGAGGTGAACTTCAAGTATCTGAATACAACAATTTCACTCTGCCTAAAAGGCAAGAGAAGCTGGAGCACCTTGCAGCATCAGGCAAAGCAGCCCACATTTTAATGGGCAGGCACCAGGGAGAACAGCATGGCTGGAGAGCAGTCAGCCTGCATATTGCACAATGCCACAGTGCAAACCTCCACAGAGAAGGTGAGACATCATGCACAGATTACTACTGGCCTAACAGCTCAGTTGTTAGGAAATTATTAATGAAAGCAGCCTACAGAATCACCATTTCCTGCTGCACACTGCTTTTTCCAGAAGCTGAAAGAGTTGTACCCTGACAGCACAGGCTGCCAGACAGCTCAGGTTGAACCTTGTTTCTACTCCCCTGGACAGATTTGGGTTTCACAGTTTTGCTGCTCCAACTGCCCAAATATTCTTCTCAATTTGTACTGTTTAGGATTGTTGTGCAAGTACTGCTTATTTTTAATGTCTGACTCACTATACAGACACAACTTTAATACAAGAGGGAGTACAGCAACTGTTTGGTTATCACCAGTTATTATAATGATGTTTTCTAGTCAGAGGAGTGAAAAAAGCCAGTTCCAGCTTTAGCTAAGTCACCAGATAAGACATGTCATCTGGAGGCTCATCATTACAGGGCTGCGAGTCCTGCTACTTCAGGAATTTTCTAACTTCATAGAAATGTCCAATATAAGTTTAAGATTTTCATCACATTCTTTCTCCATGATTACCAGTCTCTCTGCTTAGCTGACAAGAAAAAAAAATCCTCTTCCCTCACAAAAATCTCCAAATGAACCAAAAAACAACATCTCAGCTTTCTTCTTGTTGCAGGAGACTCAACTGAAAGTCAGGTACAGCCTGGTTTCAAGGCTATATCCTGCTAGAGCTTTTCAACAAATCAAAATATTTCTATTTTACCCTGGATGCTTTTCGGGGCTTTCTTGATCTTCAAGGTATTACCTTCATTACTCAACTTTAAAGCATTGGCTAAAAGCCTTTACAATACCTCCACTGCACACAATTCCCATTAATGTAATGGCCTCTCTGTAATATTAAAGCCTTCTTCATTTATCACTTTCACATACTAACTTTGACAATAGAGTTATGTCTCATTACAATGACTTCTTGAATTCAATCTTTTTTGTCTTTTCTAACAACTCGAACTAAAAGAAGCCATTTTTTGACAACAGCCATCTGTCAGCAATGATTAAGTCTCCTGAAAAATAGATCAGGTACATGAATACATTTTGCTTAGATCCAGTGCAGCATCTGTCATTAGTATTGGGGATATCACAGAAAGACAATGATTAATTTCAGTAATTGGCTTTTCTACTCTATCCCAGAACACATGAGGACACCACTAAAACAGCTCAGATGCCTCTGAATCATCAAGTGGAGCCTAAATTTACTTATACTTCCATGACTTAACTTGTGAAGTTAAGTGAAGTATGTACAAATGATTTGTGAGCAAGTTTCCCAAGACACTCCTGCTCAGGCCAATTAGAGTGTTTCTATCTTGATCCTCAAAGTACAGTATTTTCTTCCTGATTTAATAGTGTCAATGGAGTTTAGACCCAAATCAACAAACCATTAGTTGTGGCAAGAGCTTGGCTCAGGCTAATAATCAAGTGTCTGGTAAAGGATGAAACCAAACTCACGTTCTCCTTGGTCCCTGACAAGGGTATCAACCACTCAACCACTTGCTGCAGTTCTGCCCTGCACAAGGGGCATGGAGCAAGCTGTAAGAGAATAATCTGTTTTATCTCATACTCACTTAAATAGTACCAAGCAAATATTAAATAGGATCAAGAGTTGGTAAATAAGATTAGCACTATCAGTAAAGAAAGAATACAATCAGCTCAAGCCAAAGAGGAACATAAAAAGGATCTGTGCTTTGAATCAAAATAAGATTGATACTGATCTAACTAAGAAAGCTTATGTAGGGACAGTAAGACTGGGCAACCAGACCATCAGCCCAGACTATCTATCTATCAAACACTTAGAATTCATATATGTTCCTTTTCCAGATTACATATAGGTGTCACATCGACCTTGGCCAAAATCAGTAGAATTTTGTTCCAGACAGATATAATGATATGACTCCATTTCCATCCCCAGTACTAATCAGCATTTACTAAAACTTTGCTGGGAATGAAGATGATACAGCAGTAACTGCTTCACTTGACAACAAATGTGCAATACCTACAGAAGTCAGGAGTGCTCTGGAGGCCTGGGCTGTCTTCATTTGCCTCCACCTGGAGAGACCCAGGGCCCTCAGAAGTTCATCATTTCTATGCTACCATTTCCCCCACGCTCCAGAGGGAAAGCCCACAAAAGCTTTTCCAGCAGTGTCTTTTTAAGGGGATTCTCAGCACAGCCAAGATGGGAGAAGAGCTGCTTGGTTCAATCGCATCTGGTGTCACCCAGAGGTTCACCCACGCGGGGCAGATCTGGGTAACTCACTTCGCGACACCCATTCCTCCTCACACCAGGAGACACGTCATCTAGTTCAGAGTTCAGCGCGAGCAAAGCGACATTAAAGCAACAGAACCACAGGCTGCAGGAATTCCACACGCTGTATTAACACCTTGGGCCACAACATCACAGCGCGTCCCCGACCAGCCGCTTATTTCACCCTTCCTATTCCGCAAAG